AGGGGAAAAGACGCTGATCCAGAGGCACGAACAGCTTCACGTACATTGCACTCGCTAGACACATACACACGGCGTCGGTTCTTGGTCGGTATCCAAGCTTGCGAAGGCACGGAGACACGGCACTTCGGCGTGCCAAGGAAGCTTTGAACACGCCGCCAGCCCTTCCTTTCGACGCGTTGTGCCTTTTTCCTGCGACACTGCACTTTCATAAAATTTTCCACGTGTTCACAACGGCAAGTCTCAACAATACACAGAGTCTTCAAAAAACTTCTTCGGCGAATGACGACGAACGAGTAGAAAACGTGTCCACAGCACGCTGGAAAACCGCAGCAAAGGCTAGCAAAAACGGCAAATCGTATCCCAAGCGAGTGAAGTCCGGTGGCTTCACTTGCGCTGCAGCGAACAAGCGGGGCAGAGCCGTATATGTAGAGAGTTTGGTCAATGGGAGGCGCGGGCAGAGCCAGGGCGTGCGGCAGACTCGGAAAGAGGGCTTGGCATGCTCTCTTGACCAACCAGAAGTTGAAAAGAATCCCCTAGCGGTGGTAGCGAGAAACAGTTCTGAGCCGATCGATCATCGAAGGTCTATGTTCGTATATGGTTTAAATAAGTGCGTAAGAGTGAAGTGTAGTAACTCTTTGTGGTTGAAAATAGGGTTCACGTGTTGTTTCATCATGATCATGCAGAAAGATGTAAGAAACGAATGCGCCGCTCAACTCTGTTTTGCGCGGACAGAGTGTGACCGCTCGGACGGCAGATTCCCGGCCCTCGGCGTTTGGCGTACAGATTATGTCGATCGTTCCGCTAGTCGCACTCTTCCACCATCATTTCTGATGAGCGTGAATAAAACATCACGTGTACCATATTTTCAGCCATCGAGAGTTACTCCAATGCAGTTATCAGGTTTGTTTCTCGCGACCACCGCCAGGGTATTATTTCCGGCTTCTGGTTGGTCACATTCGAATTTCTGAAGACGCCCTGGAACACGCCCAGCCCGCTTTCGGCCAATGGCGCCGCTTCATTTGTCTCCTATACTTCCCAACGAATGGCCAAACTCTCTACATATACGGCTCTGAAGCGGGGTAGCGCGATCCAGCAATACGCCTCGCAAGTGGGCTCATTTTCGTCATCTGCGCATGAGAAAGGAAGTAGCGGTGACGTCAGAACGCCGAGCCCTGATTGGCTGATCGCGACCCCCTATCTGAGCGTCGTCTGCTCCTTTGCAACGCCGTCTGCTCGCAACGCCGTCTGCGTCTGTCTTACCTTTCCGGCGACTTTCGGAAGTGCAGGTCTTTACGAGCGAGCTCGACTTCGCCTTTCAGAGAGGGCAGACGAAGTAACTCGAGCGCTACGTTGTTTTTGTCTAACAACCAGCAGACGCGCATCAAGGAGGGAAGTCAAAGGACTCACTGGCGAGGTGAGGTTTGTTTGCTAAGAACCTTGAGTGAGCGTGTTAGTGTCCGCAAGTTCCCTCTCAAATACGTTTTCCCTCCTTTCGTGTGCGGCGAGACCCCTCATTCTTTAACGGCGTCGGCGGGTTGGCGCAGTTAACGTCGTCTGCTTTACGTCTGCTAGTCAAAGCGATGACTGCTTTACCTTTCCTGCGTTTGTCGGAGATTCACCGCTTTATTACCGGCGAGAGTCACCGTTGCCTCGGGAAACAAGGAGAAAACAAACAGCGATCAAAGTATAATACGGGAAGGGTTCCAAAAGTCGCGCGGGCATATTCCATTCAGCACGCCAGCCGGTCTTGGGCAGACGGTTGCCGAGTCGCGAAGTGCCTGTTAGGCTTAACCGGCGAACTCGCTTGGTCGCGTTCGGTGGAATCGTGGCCTTTGGAGCTTTTCCCGGGTGTTCGTGGATCCAGCGTTCTTGTTCGTCGTGGCCTGTTTCAAGTACTTTTTACTTTTTTCTTGCTGCTTGAAGTCAGGACGTGTGAGAAGCGCACGTAGAAAAATAAACGTCCGTGGGTCGTCGCGACCGCGACGCTGTCGGCCATGCTGATTTGATCAGCTTCGGATCTGTCGTAGGATTTCGTCGTAACCTGCGCAAAACTTACGAAAATCTCGTTTCGTGAATACGAATTTGTTTTTAGGTTTTGTCTTACGCAGATATTTGGCGTAAGATCGTTTCGTGAATCTGGCCTCTGCACTTCCGAAAGTCGCAGGAAAGGTAAGACAGACGCAGACGACGTTGCGAGTAGACGACTTTGCAAAGGAGCAGACGACGCTCAGATAGGGGGTCGTGATCAGCCAATCAGGGCTCTGCGTTCTGACGTCACCGTTACCCCCTGCGCAAGAAGCAGACGAACTTGCCCTCCGCACTGTCATAGAGATCAGTGGGCTTCACCAATATTTCGACGTGCCCTCTCCTAGTACTTCTAACCCCCTTGCCGACAGCCAACAGAGCGTGTGAGTGGCTCTCCGGACCCACGTGATGAGCAGAGCAAGGCCGGCGTGAAGGTAGCGAGTGCGAGATATAACGGGGGGAACTTTCCCCCCAGCGGCCGGAAGCGGAGCGCCGCACGATGTCGGTGTCGTGCGTTTTGTAGGATCCTGTTTTGCCGTACGCATGACCGCTATCGCAGCGCGTTCACTGTCAAAACGCGATGAGTTTACAACTCTTTCCAAGCATTGGCTTTCGTTCTGTTCTGCTGTTTTTTTTCTTTTTCTTTTTTTTTTATATATGCCAATGCGTAAAACAGTTTACGTCACAACCGCTATTTCATCACGTTGCGAGCGTAAATTTTGCTTAATCCTCCACCGCACGCTGTAAAATCATTGTTTTTTAAATTCATTATTGAAATTAAGAAGTTTTACTTCCACTTGTGGTCTGAGAATCTCGGAGCGCTCTGAAGTCAGCAGTTGTGATCGGCTGCAAAGGATCCCGAGTAGCTCTGGCGGCGAGGAGGAGGCGCTCTGCTGAATCGAGGTCAGGGGAGAGAGGCGACCACCCGAATTCACCATTATTGTGAAGGGCTTCACCCGGTTTTTATTGAAGGTGAGACTGGTTTGATAAGGGCATTGGAGATTTAGGACAGAAAAGGAAAATTAGATTTTGGCAAGGTCGAGTTAACAGAGCAATTATCTTACTGGTGGCATTAGTCAAGGGAAGAATAAATGTTATCTTATTCTTTTCCGGCCAGTCCACTGGGCAAAAGGTGTAAAGAGGTGTTTCCATCACACAGGTTGTAATTGCAAGCCACAGTCCGATTTAGCCGGTTAGGCCGTATGCATCCATCCATCCATTCAAATAATACAATGTGACCATACCTTGGTGAACGATCGATGTCTGTAATACCCCTGTTACACGGGCACATTTAACTGCGGTTAGGCTAAGCCACAGATAGCGCACAATACTTGCCGACAACATTCTGCGGCTATGCAGTCAAAGCTATGGGCGAACGTGCGCTTGAGCATCTTGAGTATCTATCGAAGCAGTGCGCGCGCGCTCTTCACTTCTTCTGAAATAGCTGTCAGAGAGAATAGTGTGGTATCTGTGGTGCCGCGCAACAGCAGTTAAGCTGAGTTAACCGCGGTTAAGTGTGCCCGTGTAACAGGGGTATAACACTCGTCTGGCGTTTCCATGCCCGTTAAACAGAACTCGGGGGTAAGCGATTACCCTACTGAATAACTTGGAAAGCAGACAAACTAGATAAGAAAAGAAAAAAAAGTTTGGTTGATATACGTATATCACAAAGAAATTCCATTTCATCACCCTTACACTAATCTCGTTACTTTGGCGTTTCAATTGGGGTGTGCAGTAGGTAGTGTAAACCACCTTCCACTGTTTCAAAAAAAGACTCGCAACTGGAATTATAATTTTGCAACAGCTTGCAGGCTTGAAAGGAAGAAGCCAGTAGGCCAGTTAGACGGCCCGGCCAACTCCTGCAATTTTTTTCTCCTTTCACACACATTGTTTATCACGTTTGCGGGATGCTCTAGCTAGCAGGCAGTCCACAGTGTGCACCTGACGAAGAGAGGGGGGGGGGGGGGAGGGGGGGGTCGAAACTCCCTCCCCTCCCCCGATGAAGCCCGTCTTGCTTTCTGCATTGTATGCCAAGGTAGCATCCAATGCAATTCCTTATTACTATTAGCTTAATCTCTTCGTAGCACGGAACATCAGAAATTCCGAAGAGACAAGCCTTCATATTCTCACTACGCATAGGCGCTGCAAGGCTAGTCAAGTTCCTTTCTACGTTTGGCCTGTATTTTCTTTGTGGTGCGTCATGTCATCTCTCCGAGTGATAGAACGACGAGTTCGGATTGATGACTTCTCCTTACCCCTAGGATATGCTGCTGCTGCCTTTGCGCCATGCTGCAGGATAAAACGGCCTAGCGAAGGGAACACTCTTTCCTTCGTCATCTGGTTCTGTAGCACGAATTTGTTAAACCTTTCATAGATAATAGATTATGGTTTTCTGAGTGGTCGGTTGCTCCAATCTTTCAGTGTCAAAATTATTATTATTTTGTTTTTTTTTTGTGGAAGTATAGCTATTTTTGTGTTTTGTCTGGCCTTCACGCGTGGATATTGCGGTGCTACTTCGAAAAGCGAAGTTGTGTGCTATGAGGAAGCTTTTAAAGTTGGTGGGCCGCAGTTATGACGACAGTATAGGAAGTGTTCTCTGGTGGCCATAGCGCTGAGCGCGTGCTGACGGCAAGCTTCCATTCCACACCATCAAGAGTGCCCGTCTTAGCAACCTATTAATGTGGACTCGTTCTGAGCATGCACTCTAGACAGCACCCACAAATATGGCACCCAGTGAATACCCCTTATAGAACAGTGAGCCACCCCGCCCGTATTCCTGTAAATGAAGCCTGCTCCGTTTCGAAAAAATGACAATGCAGAGTTACCCGTTTTAACAGCACCTCCCTAATCTTTGCCTGAGCGTCCGTGCCGGCGAGCTCACCCTGCGTCATCGAGGGGGGGGGGGGGAGGGGGTTGCCGTTGAACCCCTCCCGAAATAAAATTCTGGCTACGCCACTGCGAAGAGACATACAAAATTGTGTGTATTGGAACTGTGGTTTTATTAAAACATCTTTGGCGTGCAAGCAGCAACAGAGAATCTAAGCGATCACATGATGGGACGCTCAGGGGACCAGCACAGGATAGGAACACTCTGGAATGCAACGATAAACTTAAAACAGCAGTATGAATGCCAGTCTACGGCTGATAACCGCTGTCATCTGTGCGCACTGAAGCGTCTTCTTCGAGCTCCATCTCCTCCTGCTTTGTCGCCTCCAGGAACTGGCGCATCTGAGCGAAGAGGTCGTTGTTCTTCTGCTCTATGTGGTCCAGACATGCGTTGATTTCGTCCATAGCTGCATTCAGTGCTTCGTACTCTGCGAGAATCACAACGCGATATGTGCAGTGTAGAAACGTCATGTCAGTCGGCGTCGCGCGCCGCTAACCACGGCGTCAGCGAACGCAAAGGGGGGGGGGGGGGGGGGGGGGGGGGTCTAAGCGAAGCACTATTATAGTAAAGCTGGTACAAAAAGGGATTGAAATTAACCTCGCGAGAACCTCTGAGTGGCGTCGAAGTGGCGCGACTTGAGGAAGCTAGAGATGTCGGCCGTCTCACTACCATCCCCCTGAGGCCTTAGAGGGGTTCTTTTCAATCAAGGGGGAGTGTGATGCAAAAGTTCACAAAGCGATGAGAACCCCGACTGAAAGACTAGAATAACTTAACTTGCCTTCATCGTAAGAGGTTTCGTCAACTTCGGAGCCTCCCTCGGCCGCAGTCGTCTGATCTCCGGAAGCAGAACTGCTTTTGGGGCCATCATCGCTCCGCGCCATTTTGATTTAAGTGCGCCGCGCAAAACTTTAAGGGCTACTCATATTAAATAATAAAATGTAAATACATTCTTATTTATACCAATAAAATATTTAAATTAGAAATGCGTTTACCGTAAATTTATATTATTTTTCTCTGAATGTGTGTTCACAAAAATATTTGCTGCCGAACAGCCCAAAAAACAGATTATTGTTCCTCCATCTTGCTTCGTTACTGTCGGTGGAATTTTTTCGGTAAGTATCTGATTAATCTGATCTCTGTGACTAGCTCATCTGTTTTATAATATTGAAATATCATCACGCGTGTATATGCTAACAGTAAACGACCCGTAGTTTTTGTATCCAGAACTGGTCTGTCAGTATTTCGGACGCCTTTAGCGTCTTTGTCCGGCACTTCCATTGGTTGTCGCGGAACGCTGAACCGAGAAGCGTTGTTTACCCCGTAGTAATCGCAAAAACAGAAAACAATAAGCGTCTACCGGCCAAAGAAAGCTACGAAGGATTGCAATTGTTGTTTGGAATCGTAGAACTTTCTGTGGCGAGCGTCCACCGATGACTCATTGTTTTGAATCCCGCGTTCAGGTAGAAATCGAGTAGGGACAAAGCAGCCATGGCCGACAACGATTTGTTGGACTACGAGGACGAAGAGGAGCAGGAGCAGACCGCCGGGGAGCCCATCCCGGAGGTGAAGAAGCCGACTGGGGGCTACGTGTCCATCCACAGCTCCGGTTTCAGGGACTTCTTGCTCAAGCCCGAACTCCTGCGCGCCATTGTGGACTGCGGCTTCGAGCACCCTTCCGAAGGTGCGTTTGCGGCGTTCGCTGGGCGTCGAACGTAGCCGGTGACATCGCATAACAAAACGATAAATGGTGTTCATTGGATCGAAATTCCGAAGCTATCTATATTTTGATGCTGACACGAACAACTGAAACGTATCGCGGGCGTCTTTTAACTCACGTTCGGCTTCTGCCTCGCGCAGCTGTTTTCAGTGGTCAATTGTGACAAAGCTTCAGGGCTGCTTACGCCACGCCCAGCAGTTTTTTTCCCTGTCAACTTTGCTATAACTGTTACCAGCGTCATTTCATTGATGAGTGAGGTCTTCTCTGTTATTTTTTGTTTTTGTGCTTGGAGTGGGGCAGGTGCTCATTCCATTTTGTATATGTTGTTTAGCTCTGTCAAAGCTATTGGCACAACTTTATTTACTGACTCAAGGGTGATTCAGACATTTAATTATTACTTCCTGCGTTGCACGGACATTGGTTACCCTAGCAACCCGTAAAAGTTTCTCATTTTCACTCATAGTGCAGTTAGTCGTGCTCAAGGGCGAGGAGATCGAACTGTAGGGGGCACTCTGACCCGTTTGTTGTCCCCACACATTAGTTTACCCAACACAAAGCCTGTAGACATGCCCACAGGCCTTGTGGGCATATTCACATCTTAAAGGGGGACCAGCAGAAATATTCTTCCGCCTGGCGGAAAGTCCTCCTCGCCCTCTTTCTTTCTTTTATTGTAGCACGGGGAGGCCAGGGGAAAGGTCCCCTTTTGCGCCGGCTTCTTCTGAGAGGATAAGCCGAGAAAATCCCCTTTCTGAGCGACGGGTGATGGGTGCGGCAGCAGCGACCTCGTGACTTACAGGTAGCTTCAGCTCCTATCGCGTAATCTGCCCCATTTTTTGGCGCTCACCAAGCCTAGCCCCTCGGGTGTAGGTTTTACGGGGCTGCAAGGCTGCGCCCGCGCAATCACCGAATTTCAGCTGTCGAAGGTCTTTGGTTTAGCCGTGGCAAAGTAAACGCATACTAGAGAGCTGCGATCCATAACCGCACCCATTGAAGGAACGTTTGATAGATATTTTCGGTTGATCAAGGAGCTCAAAACACATGTGCGAGAAGTGGTGACTTGAATATGTAAGTATGACTTACATCTTCACAAAACATTCCATCTTCAAAAAAACGGCTTATCACGCTCAAATCTGCCTCAAACTAGGATCGATGGAAAAGAAAACGATGTACCAGGCGCGGGCACCTTCTAGAAGGTCTCTATTTTCTAGCAGCGAGCACAAACTATTGGAGAACTTTAGCAGACTATGTTTTCAGGCCACGCTATAATTAGCGGGAGCTCGCGCTGCCACTTCGATGCATTCCCTGAAGCGCGCGCCTGAAGTGGCAGCGGGCCTTTGGAAACGATTTACTAAAATGCCCTGTTGTGTGCCTAACTCGCAGAACATGATGGCCAGCAAAATGTATGAAATTCATATTTCACATTCCCAACAACCACCTGACGTGAGAGGGCATCAAGGGTGGATGTCAATTTTAGAAAGTTTTAGTGGGTCGCTTCTATCCACTTAAATAACCGCACGGTCCGTGCCCCACAACGAAATGTAAGCTAGACTCGCTGTTTACATTCTTCATCGAGTGCGGCTATGGAGCCGAAAAGACAATATTAAAACCCTTTTTGGCGAGTCTAGCGTGTCGTGTTATGGTTCAACGCTGCTTGAATTGGTACCATAGCACAGGCCGCCACTTCGAAGTATTTGTGGTGTCTCAAAGAAACTAAAGGAAAAGCAGACAATTTTTTTTAACGTGACACGGAATTGTATTTAACATTGTAAAAAACTTTTAGGTACCCTACGCCACGCATTTAGCACAAACAAACTATCGCCGGTGTTTCCCTCTTTTTTTTTCCTTGTTAGAAGTGAATGATGTTTAGGAAACTGTTACTGCGAGTATCCAACCTAAGCGGTAGATTTTAGTGCGAGCCAATACATTGCTGGGGAAAATAGCAAGAAGCGCCGATGTCGTGTTTGCGCTAACAGTGTCGCGTAATGTACGCATACCGCTGCACAATCAACGCTAACGGAGTGAATCAGTAAATTTGGTGGCCCCCCAAAAAGTGGTGTTATTTTGTTTTGTGTTCATGTTTGAAAAGTTGTTATTTTTATACAAGCAGTTCGGTAAAGAGTGCTTCCATTGGGCACCAACTTGCGAGGCATCAATTTGTTCTTATACACTAAATTCTGCATGGACCTTGCGTAAAAATATCAATATTGTGTTCGTGTTAGCTGTGTCACGCACAGTAAGAAGACCAGTTCATTGCTCGAACATTTAAACTAGGCCTTTCTTACGCCAAATTGACATTTTGCGAGTACGCTTTATTACTGGTGGTTCATAAAATAATCTACGTTGTTTACTTGGAGGAAAGGAAGTAGTGGTGAGGGGAGGTGGAATTGAATACAAGAGATGACTCTAGGGAACCTCGAACTTTGTAAATATTGCGCACACCCTATAATTCTGAGTTATTACATCAATTTTGCTTTGTCCGTTTCAGAATTTGTTATCAGTCGCGCTAAAGGCCAAGATGAGCGACAAGTCAGATTCCCCTGTTTACTTGAGCAAGAAGCGTATGCGAGATGGGGGGGGGGGGGGGGGGGGGCTGAAAAACCATACTAGTGTAACCGTAGCAATCTCCTACCAATCCTGCACCTCACTTTTTCTGAAACCGCGGAGCTGACTGCTTTCGACAACTTCATAAAGCAAGCCAAAGCCGTTAATAAGTGTGACTCGTTGTCAGCTGTGATAATCAAGGCGCTGCGACGATTTCTTCAAACCTTTCATCTATTAAAATAAATTGTATAATAAATCCATTGCCATATTATGCTTGCGCTGATCTTGTAGCGGTATGCGTGCATTACGTGGCACTGTTAGCCCGAACGCGACATCGGCGCTTTTTACTATTTCTGCCAGCAACAGGTATTTTCTAGCACTGAGCTCTGCCACTTAGGCTGGATAGTTGCATATCAGTTTTCTAAACATCATTCACTTTTAAGAAAACAAAATTATAAAGACCGGCGATAGTTTGTCCGTGCTAACTGTGTGGCAGTATACCTAAAATGTCTTTGCAATGACAAATTACAAACACGTTTCATGTCAAAAAAAGATCGGCTACATTTTTTATTTTTTTTATTTTTAATGCTTCAAAACTACTTTAAAGGGGCAGCATGTGCTATAGCACCGATTTAAGCAACGTTGAATTATAACACGACACGCTTCGATAGTCGCACTCAATAAAGAATGCTCTCAGAAAGGTTAGAGCTCATATATTGTTGTAGGGTGCGGTTATCCATAAGCTAAAGACGATCCACTAAACTTCTTAGTATCGACACACACCATAGCTGCCTTCTCACCTCATGTGGTTTTTGGGATGCGTAAATATAAATGTCATCTACATTCGTTGGCCATCATGTAGTGTGAGTTACGCACATAATAATTTGTGCTCGCTGCTAGAAAACAGAGACCTTCTACAAGGTATATCCCGGTATATCGTTTTCGTTTCCTTCGATCCCAATTTGAGGCAGGTTTGAGCGTGATAAGCCGTTTTTTTTTAAGGTAGAATGTTTTGTGAAGATGTAAGTCATCCTTACATATTCAAGTCACCACACCTCGCGCATGTGTTTTGAGCTCCTTGATCAACCGAAAATATCTATGAAACGTTCCTTCAATGGGTGCGGGGATGCATCGCAGCTCTCAAGTATGCGTTTATTTTGCCACGGGCTAAACTAAAGAACTTCGACAGCTCAAATTCGGTGACTGCGAGGGCGCAGCCTTGCAGCTCCGTGAAACCCACACCCGAGGGGCTAGGCTTGGCGAGAGCCAAAAAATAGGGCAGATTACATGATAGGAGCTGAAGATACCCGTAAGTCACGAGGTCGCTGCTGCCGCACCCAGCGTCCGTCGCTCAGAAAGGGGATTTTCTCGGCTTATCCTCTTAGAAGAAGCCGGCGCAAAAGGGGACCTTTCCCTTCGCCTCGCCGTGCTACAATACAAGAAGAGGGCAAGGAGGACTTTCCGCCAGGCGGAAGAATATTTCTGCTGGTCCCCCTTTAACATAAAGATGCTAGCAATAAACGAAGCAACGTTTATTGTTGGTGCCAGATCCCTCTTGAAAGCATTCAGAGAATGCGAGCTTGAGCCACTTCGTCGGCTTTTGTGCTGAGCTGGGCATGTGCTTTCTGCATGCTGCATTGTTCATGCAGGCCAGAGTGGTAACAAAAGAGCCCCTCCTTCCCCTCAGGCGACCCAAAAACACAAACTCCAGCTGAACGCTAATGCGACGTTAGGTTAAGTCAGCCGAGCACTGAGTCATTGTTATTTGTTGTCCCCAACTGTGTAGTTCTAGAATTAGCTGCTTGGGGTGCCACGATCTGGTCCCCTCCCTAGTACCTGGCTTGCATTGACGTCGCAGCAGCCACCATTGCTCCACACCATGCCCACTGTACCTGTACCTTCTGCAGCATGCATTTGACCCATCAAATTTGTTCTTCTCGGCAAGCCTTGCTGCGAAGAAAAGATGTGATGGTTCGAAATGTACGGCGGCAAAGGGTATGAGCACAGGAGCATGGCACGGTGCCATGACGTCACATGAAAAGCATGTATGTATATGCAAATGTCTTGTTCATTCTTAGTTTGTATGACAGATTGCACAAATTAAATTTTAGATGAGGTCACATGCTGGTGCCAGTTGCTTTGACAGCTTGTGTGCAATCTGTTAAATAAATTTGTAAATGTCTGCAGTTGTACTCTATTTCACGGTAACATGGCGGACTGTGGAGGCTACGGCCCCTGCGACCGAAGTAGAGCGTCGGAGCAAAGAATGTGATACCGTGTCACAGGACACTGCGTATGTTTCACTGCGCCAAATGCGAGGCCTGCAGTAACTGGCTGTCATTTGCTGTGAAACCAACTTTGGATGAATGTCCACTGACACAACATTGCCATCCGCTAGAGTAGTGCTCTCTGGAACAGTTCATGAGGCAACCTTACACTCAATTTACCCGTGAATCTTTGGCGAGTGCTAACACCAGGGCCAAGTGCTATTTTGAGCGGAAACAGTCGATTACGTGACTGCAACTGCCAACGGCCACGGTGCTACAATGGGAAAAAAGTTAGGAACGAATATGAATGTTGCATCACTTCTTTTTAGTTTAAATATAATTGACACTCGTCGCGAATATTCCTTTTTTATATATATATTCTTGATAGAGATAGTATGGTGGTTGTTAAAAGAAAAAGAAGCCTAAAATCACTTTTTGTCGTGGACGGCGCTGTTGGTGTAGCGGTAACAAGGCCACCGTGATCTCGACCATAGTGTTGTCACGTGCTTTGCTTCGACACTTGTATTGGTTCACGGGGACTGCAGCCTCGACAGTTTTCCCAGTTATCATGACACAGAGTATAGTATGAGAACAAAGTTTTGCAGCTGGTGCTACACGTTTGTTGACATTTACTATTGAGTTGAAATGAAATGCAAACAGAGGAACACGTGGCCGTCGACGCACGTTGCGCCTCCTAGAGGCCTTTGGAAACTAATAAAACTAGAGAGTAGGGCACTGCGAGGGTGTATATCCTACTCTGATTAGTTTGACCTTCAAACTGCACGACCCAAGCTTGGACACCGCGCCGGTGGTGCACTGGAAGCTTTATCACAACCACTTTTGTTGCCCCCGGCACGAGCCACGCGAGGAACCTCGCCACCCGCAGCAGGAGCAAGCTGCTTGCACATGCGTCTGCGTAGTATTACCGCAGCGTCATGCTCCCTCTTGTGCAGTTTTCTTTTTTGTTGTCGTTGGCTTGACAGAGGCGGCCCAGCTCTGAAGCTGATGTTGTGCTGGGCGAATGCAAATGTGTGACCTGCTTTTATGGTGACAGCGTGCACTTGTTCTTGCTTCCACCACTGTTCGGTGAAGAAACTTTTGCCTGACCTGTGTGGTGTCCCCCCCCCCCCCCTTGGCTTTGCAGTACAGCATGAGTGCATTCCCCAAGCGATCCTGGGCATGGACATCCTGTGCCAGGCCAAGTCTGGTATGGGCAAGACAGCCGTGTTTGTGCTGGCCACTCTGCAGCAGCTGGACCCTGTGGACGGACAGGTGGGAGGACTTCCCTCGCTCGCATCCATGTAGCACAACGGTGTGGGTAGTTCTCGCCATGCCAGTAGGAGTTGGAAAATTTTGCATTGGTGCAGCTTCATGGAAATTAACCGCGCACCTTTTCATCCTCAGAGTTGGGGCTTTTTTCATCAGTAAAATGCTGAATTTATATTGTTGCGCTTCAGCCTTTGCTGAAATATCTAGATTGTGCTATATGGAAAGCACAATCCCCACAGTCAGTGTTAGAAAAAACATTGTGGTTTAACTTCCTCAGACCTATACAATACCAACAAGCATTTTTTTATTTTGTAGTGTGTTTCATTCTACAGGGTGTGTCAAATGAAAATTTACACGGTCTTTTTTACCGCAAAAATAAACTAGGCATCGCTGAACGCTCATTCTCCGCCCAAAGGTAGAGCTAGAGGTCACAATTAGATGCCAAAGTTTCAGTCTGGTCCGATAGCTCAATCAAAAGTTACACATTATTTTCTGAAAATTTCAATGGGAAAATGGAGCCCAATTTTGCCCGTTTTCGGTTTCTGGTGCCATAGAGCCCCATGTGTTTGAAAACTCCGTCGGATGCCATTTTCCCATTGAAATTTTCAGAAAATCACATAACTTTTGATTAAGTTATCGGATTGGGCTGAAACTTTGGCATTTGGTTGTGACCTCTAGCTCTACCTTTGGGCGGAGAATGAGCGTTCGGCGATGCTTAGTTTATTTTTGCGGTAAAAAAGACAGTGTAAAGTTTCTTTTGTGACACCCTGTATTCTTTTTCTACTCAAGTTCTCCATGTGTAATTGGGATACTGAAGCTAAACAGCCCCGAAATCCTGTAATTGTTGCAATTTAGTTTTTAAAAGGCATCTGCTTATTTAATTTAGAAGACATTAAACAGTCAACTTGAAATGTGAAGGCAGTTTCTTTTTTCCATCTAGGTTTTTCGGGGAAATTGGCGTCGCGTTGTTTTGTGACATGCTGCGACACTGTGACGTCGGTTTAACGGGAGAAAGTGCAAATGAATGGACAAATTTTTTGGGATTGGTGGTTCCGTTAAAAAGGGTGACATGTCTTCAAACGAGATTTTAATTTACTTGCACCACTGGTGTGCTGGGGAAGCCTGCTTGGGGCTGGGCATGCGACCAATCTTGATCCAACTTTGGCAAGGCGCCACTGGCCACATGTGCTTGTGAATGCTGTGGTAGTCGTAAGCTGAGGTTCTTCCCGGTCACAGGTGTCCGTGCTGGTGATGTGCCACACCCGAGAGCTGGCCTTCCAGATCTCGAAGGAGTACGAGCGGTTCTCCAAGTACCTGCCCTCAGTGCGGGTGGGGGTGTTCTTCGGGGGCATGAACATCAGCAACGATGAGAAGCTGCTGAAGAGCAGCTGCCCCCACGTGGTGGTGGCCACCCCGGGCAGGGCCCTGGCTTTGGTGCGCTCTCGCAAGCTCCAGCTCAAGCACATCAAGCACTTTGTGCTCGACGAGTGCGACAAGATGCTCGAGCAGCTCGGTGGGTCTTCCTCGCTCCCCCGCCCAAGCCCTTGTGTTGCTGCTTGGTCGAAACCACGCCGCCCGGGACGCGTCTCAGACTCGAGTGTTTTGTGTTCTGTTCTGTCCGTGCCTCAAAAGTGGTGCCGAAGTGCAACAAATGCTGTGGCAGTAGCTGGAGCGTCATTCTGTTTGATGTTGTGGTCCTAGTGGTCGGGTGTAGAAGTTCTGAGAAAAAGCGGGAGGAAATGTGAGCGCCGCTGTCGACGCCGAGTTGCAACCGCTGGCTGCCGACGCTTTTGGTTGACTGTGAAGCTGGAGGGCGACCTGCGGCGGAACAAGCGTCTGCCACATTCACCAGCGCCGCCGTGACTCCGCCAGGATCGCGGCGGCGGTTGTAACGATTGTGCGATCTAGTCAGGCGGAAATCAAGGGACCACTTTTTAGGATGCGGTAAACGCTGGTCGGAGGCGCGTTTCGGGCACTGTAATTAGAGCTCGGCATGGCTAAATTACTTGAGCACAAAAGAGAATTGCTGGAACGTAGGACTATGTGTGCTGCACACGCTCACCTTGCCTGCATAAGAGATTCGAAGGGAATTTCCAAATTGAGGCTTCGGCAAATGGACTTTTGTTCTAGGACAGTTACTGCTTTGGATGCCAGCAAGTGCAGCGCATTTAACTACACTTGAGACATGCTCCTCGGTGCTCAGGTAATTCAGCAAAAGGTGTGTCAGATGGAGTGCCCCATGACCTCGTTGAGCTATGGTCTGTTGTAATGCAGGATATGTAGAAGGTAGCACATGACTGTTGCGTTCCATTGTGCTTTGGCTGCGTGTGCTCTCAAGACGCCGAAGCATCATTGAGCGTAAAAAGCTTGTGCTGGAGGTGGAGCTTTTACAGCAATTATGTTGAAGCTGACTAGGGTACTGGATAAATTATCTAATTGAGTGCTCACTCCCTTTGACCTTAACTATGAGCGAACGAGGACCTATTAGAGCAAGGGCAATGCTTGCAGTGTGCCTGCTATATAAATGTGCTCATGAAGTTGAAACGGTCTTGGGACTGCATGCTCCTGCTTGAAGTATTTACTTTGCTCGCTCCGATGATGGAACAGGGTATAGCATGTAGACGCAGGGCATTATTTGCTACATCCCTCGTTTGGGCTAGTTGGCAAACATTATGAATCGTGGTGTAAGGTGCAAAAAAAACAACAAAAAAAAAACAATGGCCACATGAAAGAAGGATGGCGCCTGTACGCGTCTTATTTCCTTTGTCTGTTTGTTGCACCTTGCACTGCAACTCCTTTTTGATAGTGGAACAACTAATGTTCCTAAGCAAAGGACTATCTCCTACTGGTTGCGTAAAATTTGCTGGCATCTGTACTTCTTAATTGAGGCTATGCAGGTATCTATTTGCCTCGTGGCAAAGCTGACATTGCGACTGTCGCTCATTTTATGAGCCTAGTTTTAAATAGAGCACTATATAGCTCCTACGGAGCAGAGTAGCGCAATCCTTTGAACCTCGTGTTTTGCCGACAAGATGGCCGACAGAGCGGCTCGGCGCGAGTCACGTGGTACTCAGGGTTCCAAGAGGCGGCCCGCCCTATGGGAGAATACATGGAGATCGATTCAACACGGCTGATTAAAAAATGAACGGCGAGTTCACACTTTTCAAAACTAGTCTGTCGTGAAGTTAGTAAAGCACTAAACACTTTGTCAAAGTTTTAATAATATCGGATGCGTGTGCAAATTTTGAGAAGGCAATTTCCAAGGCAATGGCGTTTGAAGCAGACGATTTTTGCTCGCAGCGGAGATGGGCTTTCCGGGTTGGCCGGAGCGGGTCACGTGAATGGTGTGACGTCGCCGTGTCGTCTGCTGCATGATGCCGCTCAAGCAATTTTTAAAAAAAAGTCAGGTTCTTGCGGGTCACAAGACTTAGCCCAAATTATTCTAAAATGTTACATTATTATGTCACAAACGATTTCCATTCCGTATATTCCCACAATACTGAAGAAACAACGATTTTCTCACGTTCTCCATGCATTTCTGACCGCAGTTGGAACCTCCGGGCGTTCGCCGCTAGTCGCCGAGAGGCGGCGTTCTAGATTGCGCTACTCTGCTCCGAAGGAGCAAATAGTGCTCTAGTTTTAAACAGATCATTTGAAGGGAGCTGCCATGGCTCTTACTGTTCTCGTGTGTATGGCAGTATCCTAATATAGTATGTGGCTGTGAGTGAGCAAATTTAGAATTACCCTTGTATGCTTTTCTTTCTCCCCTCCAGACATGCGTCGAGACGTGCAGGAAATCTTCCGCAACACACCCCACGAGAAGCAGGTCATGATGTTCAGCGCCACGCTGAGCAAGGATATCCGGCCCGTCTGCCTCAAGTTCATGCAAGACGTAATTACCCCCAACAGCCTTCATCCCTCGCACACCACACCTCCACTTCGCCAGCCGGCTTCGTTGTCCAGGTCTCCTGCGTCCGTTTTCCGTGGCTGAGGCCTAGCTAGCTGGATAGAGCATTTTGGGAAGGTCAGAAGCACGTGCGCAATTTCAGGGGAAGCTGAATAAGTTTGGCATCGGGAGAACCGTCGCTCAATGGCCAGGGCCCGCGTGTTAGTAGTCAGGCGCGTCTTACACCGCACGGAATCCATCGAGAGCAAAGGGTTAGTTTCGGCGACGTCAACCAAAGTCGGTTTTGCATCGACCTGCGGAAGGGGCATCGTTGGAAGCAAGTTAGGATGAGTCGAGGCGTCCGTTCAATCTTGCGGTTCCCTCGGGAGAGCATTGTCATCTGGCTTCGTCGTCTTCAAAAGTCTGCGCGTGGGAAGGCAGGGTTAGGGCGTCCATCAGAGCTTGAGGATCCCCTGGGAGAGCTTGTCGGAGGGTGTTGTCATCTGGCCTCTTCGTCTTCGAGAGTCTGCGCGTCCGCCTGCGTGGGAAGAGCCTAGCTAGACCGGATGGATGGGGTCCCCCTTGCGTCTTCCACTCCCAGCTAGGGTAGGTTCCCTCGTCACCCCGGAGGGCCGAGGTTGTCGGGTCACGGTGCCGAGATCGGTGGTGTCGGCGCGCCTCGCGTTGTGGACACTTGTGGTGCCGTGCATCTGGACATTGTGCTCTGAAGACCGTCGTCGTGTGGCGAGAGCTGCGACGGTTGCTGCTTCGTCGTCTCCGCCGGAGCGGGAGGTTGTGTGTTGCGTCCGAGCTTGGCCGGTGGCTGCTGCTGCGTGCTCCGGAGCCGGATGGGCGCTGGCTTGGCTCGGCGACGGCTGCGACCCGCCGAGGATGCCGGACAGAGGACTGGTGGTCTTTGGGTGGACGGTATCTGTGGGGGGGCACGGGTGGCATTGTGCTTGTTTTCAGGTTGTTGGGAATGTTGGCTGGGTGGAGGTGAAGATTCTGAGTTCTGTTGAGAAAAGGGGGTGGGGGGATGACCTTTGTGTTCTGTTTGAGGATGTTATGTTTGGTTTTCTTACGGTAGTTTTCTTGATTTAGAGACAGACTATGGGAGGGTCTAGGGAAGGTGGGTGGGTTAGTGAGCTGAAAAAGAAAGTGTAAGCTTTGTAGTTCTTATGCTTTGTCTAGTTACAGGGGAATGGCTAACTTATAAAAAAAACAGTATCTATGAACATGGAAACTCACAACAATAACTGGATTTCAGTTCATCTTGGGCACTATCCTCGTTGCAGGACCTGTTGTGTGTAGGGATGCATGCCGAGAGACTAGGGGAAGCCGTTGCTATACTTAGCTTCCCAGAGTTTTTTTTCCCCACGGACCCGCGTTGAGTTGCCCACCTGATGCATTCTCCTTCCAGCCGATGGAGGTGTATGTGGACGACGAGGCGAAGCTGACCCTGCACGGGCTGCAGCAGTACTACGTGAAGCTGAAGGACAATGAGAAGAACCGCAAGCTCTTTGAGCTGCTCGACCTGCTCGAGTTCAACCAGGTGGTGATCTTTGTGAAGACCGTGCAGCGCTGCATGGCCCTCGCCCAGCTGCTGGTAGAGCAGAACTTCCCCGCCATTGCCATCCACCGCGCCATGACACAGGAGGAAAGGTGAGGCCCCGCCACTGTGGCAGCCGGAGTGTGAGCTGGAACTTTTGGGATTAACCATCTTGATTGCGACATTCAATAGCTTGACACTTTTGCTCCTGTGACCAAATTTGTTGCCACTCGCTGTGAAAGGGTTGTGTGTAGGTGGAGGGTGCATTAGACTTGGGAACAAAAGAAGTGAATGTTGCCTTCTACTGGATAGAAACATTGAACTTTGGTTCTAATCTCTGATAAATTACAAGTAATAAAATCTTTGCAGAGTTAGGAATTAGAAGTTTAACTACAGTGGATGCCTCGAGCTGTGGGGAGACAGAAGGTGCATTTTCATTATCATCATCATCACCACAAACAATCGCTTGCTGCATATTTGTTTGTAGCGATATGGTGTGCACTTACTGCATACCGCAGTGCTCAAAGCATGTTTTTGCACTGGGTATATGCAGCGCGGAGGGCACTCGACGACATGATTACAGTAGGGCATGTCCTCTTCTTCGACGATACACCGCTTGCTTTTGCCAATGTCGTCCATGATTGTCGCGAGAGACAAAGTAACTAAAAAGCGGAAATGCATGTTTCGTGAATCATTGAAAAAAACACGAACGCTGTCCTGGCACTCCCGCGCATGACCACGCATGCGCTTGTTTTGCCTGCCAAAAGGACTTTGAACACATTGAATGCAAGAGGGAGCTAGATTACTTCTATCTAAACATGTTTAGAAGAAAATAATAGTGTTACATATCTTCCACGAGCCTTGTGTTGCCGTCTTCTATGGTGGCGAATGCACTAATGACTGCGGTTGGAGGGTTTGCTTGCCATACAGTGTTGGTTCCCGAGGCGGATGCTGGGGAGCGCCACTCCTCAATCTCCTCCACAATAATCTTGTGGTGGGCTGTGTGGCATGGCTTGTGTCGACTTGGCGTTGGCAATTTTTCACACGTCGCTCTTGAGTGTCCGTGTTTCGTCGCCCAAATTGTTGGTCCAGCGTCGACACGTTTCATTGCTTAAATAGTTTGATAGCAGAAAGAAGAATGGTGGTGGTTGTAGTGGGTGTTTGTGAGAAATCCGAACCCAGCTTTTCGCACCGCAAAATTAAAGCAGACATCGTGGAGGGTTCAAACTTCGTCAGAACGTAGCCCCAGCCGTTCGAGCAAAGTGCCAAAGTTTCAGCACCAACCGTTATCATATTCAAAAGTTATAAGTGCTTTTTTGAAATTTTCAATGGGAAAATGGGGCCCATTTTCGCCGGTTTTCGGTTTCTGGCGTCATAAAGCTCCTTGTATTCAAGAGCTCGGTCGGCCGCCATTTTTTCATTGAAATTTTTAGACAATTGCTTAAAACTTTTGAATAAGATAACGGTTGGTGCTGAAACTTTGGCATCTTGCTCGAACAGCTGGGGCTATATTCTGACGGGGTTTGAGCTCTCCTTAATGCCCAGTTTATATTTGAGGTGCGAAAAGCTGTGTTCAGATTTCTCACAAACACCCGGTATATTTATGGTGTGTCATTTTGTGCGCCTTGATGAGTTAAAGGGAAACCTGAGTCTCCTCTGTTAACTACAAAGACTGTTATCTCATCCCTTGAAGTTTGTACACGAAGTTTGTACACGTCCACGAAAAATTAGTTGATAAGCTGCGTTCCTTGCCAAAGATTTTCAGTGGAAAGCATTTCTTTTCTGGATTTTATTCTTCCAACACCCTTACCCTGCAGCATTATCCTTGTGAGGTGTACTCAAGTCTGCGGCGAAACTCCCGCAGCTTTTTTTCATAAGCGTCGGGCAGTTTCTGACAGACTGGTCTGTCTTTTAGGCTCGGCCCATTCCACTTTAAGAAATTCGCAACCTACTTCTTGGAAATCTTAAAAGTTGCTTCGGGCGATGGTCATTTGTTGGCGACGGTGCGGGTCTTCACCTCTATGTCTTTGTAGGAGGCGCTGAGGCCCATTCCAGAAACACCCCCTCGACTGCAGGATATTAGCCATGCTTTCACAAAAAAAATCCTTTGCCGTCGCCGTCTCCTTTCACACTTTTCCAAAACACCAAAGTTCCGTTTCGCTGCAATGTTATTGTTCGTTCTGGCGTATAAAATCATCTTCCGCTTGAAGGAAGCACTGTGCTGGCTCTGATGTTGTGGTGGCATCCTTGTAGGGTGGGAAAGTTCACGATTCACGAAGATATCGGAAGCACTACCGTGGCACCGTAGCAGGACGAACGCTATGACAATCCTGTCTAATTGTGGAACGCTTTTGCTATATATTTTTTTTACTGCCTTACTTACATGCTTAGGTACAAGTTCCTACATTTTCCTTGCAGAGTTTGATTCCGGTTTTCTGTGTGCATGTGGAACTTCTTTTTTTTCTTTCGTCGCAATAATAATATATTGTGTAAAAATTAATATTGCGGTACATGTTAAAATCTCTTGGCTTAAAACAGTCTGTTAGGTTATGTTTTATATGTGTAGATGCAGGGAAAAGTCGCTAGGACCTGCTATGTAGTCAGCTACAGCGCTGGCCCGAACCCGCTTATCGGTTACCTCCCCACCCACCCACCAATTTCTGGAAAAAAAAAAAGGATGACTTATACGTGGCAATATACAATACTTCTGCAAGTGTTTACCCTGTCCATTTGTAAAATTAGAAAGGAGCCAGCATCTCTCAACTCTGAAACCTCCTCATTTGTACTATATTTTATGTCCCCTCTTCAGCCTTTCACCACTCAGCTGCAGCATAATTTTGTCTGCCGCGCAGGACGGTTCACTGAGTGGTGGTGCTTCCGTGTTTCCTCTCGCAGGCTTTCCCGGTACCAGCAGTTCAAGGACTTCCAGAAGCGCATACTGGTGGCAACCAACCTGTTTGGCCGAGGCATGGACATTGAGCGGGTCAACATCGTCTTCAACTACGACATGCCAGAGGACTCTGACACATACCTCCACAGGGTCAGCGCTGTTCCTTTCGACCTTAAAAAGACAGTAAATTAGGGGGCAAAAAATAATGTGCCTCAATGGAAACTCCCCCCCCCCCCCCCCCCCCCCCCCCCCCCCCCCCAAAAAAAAAAAAAGATTTTACAGTGGAATCTTGTTAATTCAAACTTGCGGATAATTCAAACATGCAGATCCCGTTAATGTGTTTCTAGAAATGAAACTCCCGGTAATTCAAACTGCATTATTCAAACATAGTTTCCTCCTCGTGTTCAAATTGAGATTTCTGTGTAGTGCATAATTTATGTTGACTCTTAAATTTTTGTGCTTTCTTTCTTTTTTTTTTTTTTCCGGGGTTGAGGCAGTAAAAGAGTTGCGTTTTGTAATTGCTTCTCACTCTAATTGGCTGTCACAACGTAAATATTTCTCTATAAATTGTTTTTGGGGCAAATTTATTTTGGACATGTAATTCAGGTACTTTATAGAGAAATATCTTGGAGTCAGTGTCTCTAGGTGCAATTCTGATGCATGCTTCTGCTCTGGGTGCGCTTGCTAAATCGAAGCACGTTTCAGCATCACTTCTTGCTCAAAATAATTCTTGCAATGTTAAGATCGCACTATGAAATGTAATGAAATTGGCAGTGCATGAGGAATTGTTTTTTTTTTTTTTTTTCTCAGGTTGCTCGAGCGGGAAGATTCGGTACCAAGGGCCTGGCAGTGACCTTCGTCTCCGACGAAACGGATGCCAAGACATTGAACGAGGTCCAAGACCGCTTTGACGTCAACATCTCCGAGCTGCCCGACGAGATCGACATTTCCTCTTACAGTACGCACCATTTTCTTTCCGTCCATCTCTGTACTCTCGCGATGGCAACTTCTAATTCTTTCTCTCCTCCTTTGCGTTGCAGTTGAGGGGCGCTGATCAAGTCGTGCCGGCGTCCCGTCTTGAAGGCCTCCAGTGGCTGCCCCATCCTTGTTTTGTACATCTGTCTTTGCCATCTCTCTGAAACACTTCGAGTTCATCGCGAGGAAAAAAAGAAAAAGCAAGAAAAACCTTGTCATTGTGTACATCATGTGTATGTGAGTCTAAATCATAGTTTTTGTTTAATGTGGCATTGCCAAGAAGAAACCAGTGCTGTGTGGAAATACAGTTTGTCACTCCCACCACCACTCTGTTGTTTGTCTTGTGCTTTGCTTGTCTGAAGTTAAAGGGTCTGAAGAACTTTGAACGGATAGCTCTGTGAACAAGCCTAGTAACGTGAGACAGCTTTTTGCCGACGTGAAAACTTTTCTTTCTGAGAAAGCTGAGCAAGGTGTACCCCAGGTTCACCACAGCCAAATGCCACCTGGATTTAGCCAGGGAGGCATTGGGCTTGGAGCGTCTGCCTAACGCAGTGGCTGCAACCACTATAGAATAAGAATCGCATGAAAGAGTTTAACTTGTTTCGTTCTTTGTACCTTTGGCAATGCAGAGCCGAAGCACAGTGGAAGGCAACAAGTCTGTGCTGAAGGCCAAGCGTTCACAAGAGATGCCCTGTGGCTCTTGTATTGTCGGTGACTATTAATGATGGCTAGGCTATTTCATTCATCCCCTGAATCTGCCAGCCCCAGTGCTTGGCTGGGCGTGGCAAATGTGGGTGGATGCTGGCACCACTTGGCTCTGGCCAAGAGGGAGTTCCCTTACAACAGTTCCTTTAAAACCGCATGTAAGCAATTTGGCGAGCAACGAGACAAGCGACGGCGACCCACTTTGCTGTAGCTCTGTCAGTTGCGCGACGAGGCAAACCGCATGAAAGCGACCAGGGCGATGCGGCGTATCTAGAAAACCGAGAAACGCGAAGAGCGACAAATTTCAGTCGCTTGTGCCGTCGCTTGCATCTGGTTCAGCCTTTGATGCGTAGAGAGAAAGAAATGAATTTCGCTTGGATTCATCTTGCATGCTGATTGGCGAGTGTCCTGAAATTGTTTCATTCCCTTGACGATCAGTAGTTAGTTATATGGTAGTTAGAAGGCATGAGTGCAGAGATACTTTGGTGGCTGTGTGCGTCGGTTTTCTGAACTAGGTGGTGAAGGTGACTATCCTTCCTCTGATTAGAAACACTTCGGAGGTGTTCACTGAATAAGAAAAATACCATTAAAAGGTTGCTGGTAGACTTTAATGTGGCTTTGAGCAAATGGTTTCAGATGTGCAGACCTTTGAATTGTGAAGATTCTATCGACAAGACCCAGTAAGACTGGTCTTCGCTCAATTCTTGGATTGATTTTCAGGGGGAGGCTGCTGCCTTCCTTTGCCTGACTCCTGTTCCGCTGTAGAGTTTTCGGGTGCCTTGAATTTTCTTGTCGGGCATGCAGTGACCTCATTCCTCTTGGCTGGCTGGCATAAGGGCTCTTCAAAAGCCGGTACCTTTTCTGATACGTTCCTGCTATCCATTGCCCTGAAAGTGGGAAAATACAGCTGCTCAGACAAGCTTGCTTGCTTTGATACTGCCTTTAAAATGCTGTTTGTGGAGCAATAGTTAGGTTATTTTGGCTGAAACTAAAACAGCCTTACTTTCATGGGATCGAAGTTTGACGCAAAAATGCTAGCGAGGCATGTGCTTTGTTTTTTGTCTAACCTTTAGTTTGTGACAGGTTAAGGCTCAAGTGGGAGCTCCTCCTAACTCCACTTTTTTCTGAGCGAACGCAGGAGAGGAGAGGTTCACTCTGCTAAAGTGGAACCTGTCGCCGACTATTGTAATTAGCTTGACTTTCATTTACAAAGATTGATAGTGAATGTATGTTATTAAAACGGTGCAGTAGAAAATGCCTTTTTTTTATGGGATGATGTAATTTTGACCAATTGTTCCAACAAAATAAATTGACATCTGTTAATCTCGGTCACGATTATTTGGGAAAAGCGCCCACATTTTGATGGAAAGTTAGCACGGGTCTCGCCTATGCAAAATTAAAAGAAATGTACTCGGTAGTATACCACAAGAGGTGAAATACGTGAAAAATGCGCTCTTACCAGTTAATCCGCAGCGCAGCGTGAAAGCAAACAAGCAGCGTTAATAATGACCCAGGTATGCAGTACGCAGCTCTGCGCTTTCATTGCACTGGGCAACAAAATCTCGTTTCCTGTTATCGCGATTATAAGTCCTCAGCTAACCGGCGGGAACCTCTACATACCCTCTGCCGCAGTTTATCGAACGTTGTCCCCAAAGCACCGTTAACGCAACAAAAAATTTTTCCATTGTTATTATTATTTTTTTTTTTATTACTTGACGTATTTACGTTGTGTGTCGCATGTGTTTTTGATTGAGGGGGCACGCGACATGTCGAGGCTCCTTTCCACGAGTTGATAACTCGCTCGAAACTCCTCAGAGACTGCCCGAAACCGGTCGAGTGTCAGATATCAAGGCTTCTCGTGTGCCCATGCTCGGCACGTAGGATATCATATGGACGATTTGGACACATCAGATACAAGCATGGTTAGAAGGAGCCGGTACTGACCTGTGCGTTCTGGGGCAGCCTTCGGGGCGCGTAGAAGGTGTAGAAAGTCTCGATTTCGACGTAAAGGTAAGTTCAAGGTTATTTTTGGGGGTTGTGCAAGCTCCACGCGGATATCGCTTGCGAATGCCAAGGTTTTGCGTTGAGGTCAGCCTGTTTCGGAATGTTGCGCTCTAAAAAGGCTCGTCTGCTGTGAGCCAGCTGCGAGCAGACAGCATACGTGGTCATTCGTGCTAGTTGCGTATCGCAGTCGAAAAGTGGAGGAAGCGGTTTACAAAATAGGTTAAATGGTTTGGGGAGAAAATATTGACTCGATTCTGATATACTGAATAAGTCATGTGAAATATCTAAGATACGCTAAGACAACGGTGGTGTAAAACCCGCAATTCGGTGTGGGTACCGTAGAGTCGATAACTCAACTAGGTGTAAAACACGATGGTTGGTAACGTTGGTCGATGTTACCTTTCCCAGTTTCATATATGGTTTCATTTTTCATGCAAACGTTTTTGACCACCAAGAGCGCTAACTCTCGCCTTGACTTCGCGGAAGTCGAAAAACCGAACGCGTTCTTTTTTTCTTCTTTTTGGCGGTTTCGTTTGATTGGTTTGTTTGCATCTTGGTTTCCTCATCCGTTACGCTATGTTGTGTGTTATCACGTGTTACTGTTTTTTTTGGCACCGCTGCACCTCAACGCTTTCAAGTGTTTTTTTTTCCTTTCCCAAGCGACTGACTGTACGTAGTACAAAACGATAAGGCTAGATGCGTAGTGGCGTAGTGACCGAGAGTGTTCCATGCGTCTCGTTCGCGTAGTATTTCTGCAGCTATGACGAAAACACTGCTCCTGTCGAGGCTCTGCAAGAGTGTCGCGGCTCTGAGGAGCTGCCGCGCTCCGCTCAGAAGCTTTCGGAGGTACGAGTCTTCGGAGGCAGTGCCCAACGCCGTCCCTTACCAGACAGTACTCAAGAAGCGTGCAGTAGAGACTCCCCGCTCTGTACCCGAATCCGCTGATGTTGTCATCATAGGTAAGCTTGTAGAACATCGGCATACGAAAAAGGTTGATGCATCATCTTGATTTCGCGGTTGTTACGTCCCTGTGCTTCAGGTGGAGGCATCATTGGCTGCAGTACATTATACCACCTTACCAAGCTCGGCTGTACCAACGTTGTGCTGCTCGAAAAGGACAACCTAACGGCGGGAACGACGTGGCACACCGCAGGTCTGTGTTTCCTATTGCAAACATCAGAGGGTGAAGGGAAACCCCTTCGACTCTCCATGATTGGTGGGGCCTCCTCTCCACTCCCGTCTTTGTTCGTCATGCCAAAGTGGAGGTAATCTAACCTCTAATAGAAATGTATGAGTTGTAACGAAATATGTAATGCCGGAGTAAAAATAAAAAAAGTGCTAGGATTAAATTTCCATCTGTTGCATCACGCTTCATACAACTGTCACTTTGTAGGGTTCATCCGGTTCTGGCAAGGAATATTAGAACAGCAATTACCTTATTGCTGCAAGGCTGGAATGTGGCACTACATGCGTTTGCAAGTCCGGTGTCAGGGTCCCGCCATCTTCCTCAGTGGGGTGCACTCTTGGGCGCAGCCATAATCCGATTACGACGCCTTAGCAAGGCTTCGTAATCGGGTTATGACTCGTCCAAGTGCACCCCCAGCCAAGCAAGATGGCAGTGCCCTGAAGCCAGACTTGCAAACGTGTGTATATATAGTCTGATTGTATGGTGAAGGACTTGTGTGTGTTTGTACAGGGCTGATATGGCGCCTGCGGCCGAATGATACAGACATTCAAATCCTCAATCATACGCGGCATTTGCTCATGAACGTCCTCGAGGAGGAAACGGGCGTGTACCCGGGCTTCATAAACAACGGCGGCCTCTTCATCGCAAACTCTAAAGAGCGTCTCGACGAGTACAAGAGGCTGATGACTGTGAGTACTTTTGTACCCGGGAATTTTCTAATGGCTTGCATGTCACACGAGATTCTTTCTATTTCTATTGATTTTGTGATAGAAAATAATGTGTATAGTAGGTTCGCAGAGATCACTTTTCAAGCAATCATCGGAAAATTATAAATGCACTCAACTAACTGCATCTTTCTGCAGGCTTCAGTCAGTAAGGATGACCTCTAGATGTAGGTAACAAATTTGTCGAGCTTGTCGATAGCTACCACATTTTTTATGTTACCCATTTGATATACTGTAAACAACTTATTGTTTTGCGGGCTCAATATTTTGCGATTTAGGTAAACGCTGGCATTTTGGAATAATTTGCGATGCAGTGGGATCTCAATATAGATACCAATGTGTTTACATTTTACTGGACTTGTTTGCGGGACCTATTTTTGGGGAATAGTAGCCGATTTGCGAAGTTTGCGAAAATTAGGTTCTTGCGAAAATTAAGTCGTTTACAGTATCCTAGCCATAGCTGTTTGCAGCTCCATTCTCGTGCATTTAATCCTCTCTCCCCCGCTTCACATTTCGAACGCCAGACTGCACCGGTTTTCGATGTGCACTTGGTAGCTTTTCCTTCACATCTTTTTCTTTGTGTGGCATTGCCTCCTTTAAAGTTGCAAAGAATGGAGATCATAAAAAAGTTGTCAATAGCTTGTGTAACTCACACTTGCACCTCTTGTTTTATCAAGTAAATATGGCATCCCTTGTTTGCTGGCTATATGACCATTGCTGTACTCTAATCCATCTAACGATGTACTGCAGCGCACGCTACGAGCCCCATCCAAACCAATCCAGTGCTGTGGACATATCATGTGACTATGCGCCTCACACGTTGCTGTGCCCCTCTCGAAGGTCACATGACACGTGGCATTGGATTGGCTGGGACGGCTCATGGCGTTCTCTACAGTCAACCTTTAAGAAATACTTCAATGAAAAAATACATTTTGTTCTTAAAGCGTAATTGGGACAAATACTTATAAAAAAATAGCTTTGTTACGAAAAAAAAATTTTCACGCAATAATTATGCTTTTAGACACAATTCAGGTGGAAGTCATGGCCTGCTCTAAGCCCCACCCACAAAACAGTGGCCTCACCCATTACTACTGGATTGGCTTGGCTGCTCGACTGAACACACTAACAAGCCCAGTGTCTCCCTTTCGCGACATCTGGTGCGTCTAGTCTGGCGTATGACATTGCCTGCTAGTTGTGCGAGCGGACGCACAGCAACCTCTGGCATCATCTGCTATATCACCGCCATCTATCGTCATCTGCAAAGCCCGTGAGATGTGGACACGAAAGCTGCACGTCGGCGTCTGTTTTTGCCTTCGTCTGTCTGCTATTCCACCCCCATCCAAAATCTTCTGCAACACTCGGAAGAAGCGACCATGAAAGCGGCGTTCTAGCTTTCCATCATGCACGAACTGCAGTCTAATACCAGCATCTGTCAGCGTGTATCAATTTGCTGTAAGAAGTGACCAAGAAAACTAAATATAATCAACAAAATGAATATGCAGTCCTTCTAGCTAGAACCCCCACAGCACTTCTGAAGGCGTGTACTTGCGACAGTTGTTTGCTGCAAACAAGGTTGGTTGAGATCTTCCTCTAAACACCTCCGTGAATGCAGAACGACTCGCACTTATAAAAATAAACTGTCAACGAGCTAGGCTCATAGAGCGCACCGCAAGCGCTGACAGCTATGTTATTGTCTGAAACAGAAAGGCGATTTCGGGATATCCTTGAAAACAATAATGACTCGATCTAGATTATTTCTTTCTCAAACATAAAAAGCTAGTAGATTAAAATGCTATTACAGCACGGAGATAGTTTACAACCAACCTTTCACACGTCGATCATCTCTCCAGCCAGGGAGAGATGAAGCACCTTGTAAGCATGGGGCGGGGTTTAGCTGGCTGTGACCTTCACTCTGTTCACCTAAATTTTGTCTAGCAACGTAAATATGGCCCAAAAAGCTCTTTTTTTTTTTTTTTTTTTTTGTGGTGAAATGTTTTTGTAAAGGGGCACTGAAGTTGATTCTTAGATCGTCCTTTTGTGGTGACAACTCCATCTAGACGCTCTAAGCATTCCAACAGACCCAAAATCACAATCGTGCGTAGCTTATTTCCTCGTTAAAAGCGTCTTCAAAGATCGCGACACACCCTTTTTGTGAAGAATTTTCTTCCGAGACAAGTGGTCGACGAAGGGCACTTGTCGGCAAGTTGCAGGCGATGGCTTCACCCGCGGTGGAAAAGAGGGGTCTTATTGGAATGTGCACCTATCAGACTCTCTTCGAAACAAGTTATAATAAAATCATTTGGTATTTGTGCGTATTGTAGGACTTTCATTGGTCCACACAATGCAGTCCACGAGAAAAAAAGAGTCCACATGTTTTTCTATTGCCTTGAGATGAATGGGCAGTTTTGTATTATAGGACTTGGTTTATGTGGAAACTAACATCTTTTAAACAATATAAGATCAAAAACGACCTTTTTTAAAAATGACTTAAGTGCCCCTTCAATATATATGTCCCATTAAAAAATATTTTTTTTTATTGCAGTGTCTTTTTAATGTGAAATGGATTATGTTCTAAGATTCTGATTTGCAGTATGCTATGGCAGTGACTATATGCAAATCTATAATGCACGAAATATGCTGAAGCAATGAAGCTTGACAGGTCCTCTGACCCGTAGGCAATTGTGAGCCAACATTTTGTAC